CTTAATGAGAGAAAATTCTTTAAAAGGGCAAACTGAGAACAAAGGACAGAATGCCTGTAACCCATTATGTCCCATTGTCCTGTATCTAGAACACCTACCAAGACGTAAATTGAACAATATATACCACTTATGGTAACTTCAAAATAAATATTATATTGTCAAATAGTCACAGAATTAAAAACTTGGGACTTAGTGGTATTGTAAGTGCTAGTTTGCATGGAAAGATAATTTAGTTGTAAATCTGCTAAAGTTATGATCCTAGTCTGACACCTAATGAAGCTCCCACGGAAAGCACAAATGCCTAATAGCCTACTGTGGGGTAGCTGTTGGAGCCAAGATTGGGAGGGAGCCCAGGGGAAAAGCACATGGGGAAAGGCAAGTGCGGAGGGACCAATGCTCCAATGAGGACCTGGGCACTCGACCATGGAAAGGCCTTTGTTGGAGCAGAGCAGTTTCAGGGGGAAAGTAAAATCACAATAAAAGGCTAAAAGATTAATAGTAGCTCTGATGGAATGCCTAAGAATGTAGAAAATCCCACTGAGAAATTTAAGAAAAGGAAATATAAAGAGTTGGGTGCTTGAAGGTTTCAACGCTTGTAAACTTAGCAAAGTCCACTGAAAACACTGCCGCGTTACAGATGGGCCTGATTATAGATAATGGGGTGTGCTTCAGAGTACAGGGGGCCCAGTGTTTGTCTCCATAGACTTCCCGCATGTGTTATTATTTTTTTTTTTTGACAGGCAGAGTGGACAGTGAGAGAGAGAGACAGAGAGAAAGGTCTTCCTTTGCCATTGGTTCACCCTCCAATGGCCGCCGCGGCCAGCGTGCTGCGGCCGGCACACCCTGCTGATCCGAAGGCAGGAGCCAGGTACTTCTCCTGGTCTCCCATGGGGTGCAGGGCCCAAGCACTTGGGCCATCCTCCACTGCACTCCCTGGCCACAGCAGAGAGCTGGCCTGGAAGAGGGGCAACCGGGACAGAATCCGGCGCCCCAACCGGGACTAGAACCCGGTGTGCTGGCGCCGCAAGACGGAGGATTAGCCTAGTGAGCCACAGCGCCGGCCTCCACATGTGTTATAAGCCAACTGAGAGACACCAAGGGGTCAGCAGGCACAATCCAAATATCAAAATGTAATAATTAATTATAAACATTTAGTTTAATATTTAACTACTTTCAAATGTCCAAATACTTTTTAATATTTCAAATATTTAATGATATTTATTAACAATGAAGCTGTTAATGTAGAGCATGACTTTGGGATGTGGTGAAGTTTCTCCCAGAATAGACAGATTTACCCTACTCTGCACATGCCCAGTTCTTCATCCATGAGTCAGGGATGAGGAGGGTGGCCTTCATCTTCAAGAGGGCAGGAGGAATTGGGGGTGGACAGGAGGCAAGGGCTGAGGACAATCTGTCTTCACAGAAGCCGTAAAAGAGGAGAAGAAACACTTTGCAGCACTGTCCTCAACACTACCCTGCCTGTTACCCCCTTAAAAGTGTTGTGCACGGCCGGCGCGGGGGCTCACTAGGCTAATCCTCCGCCTTGCGGCGCCGGCACTCTGGGTTCTAGTCCCAGTCGGGGCGCCGGAATCTGTCCGGGTTGCCCCTCTTCCAGGCCAGCTCTCTGCTGTGGCCCAGGAGTGCAGTGGAGGATGGCCCAAGTGCTTGGGCCCTGCACCTGCATGGGAGAGCAGGATAAGCACCTGGCTCCTGCCTTTGGATCAGCGCGGTGCGCCGGCTGCAGCGGTCATTGGAGGATGAACCAACGGAAAAGGAAGACCTTTCTCCCTGTCCCTCTCTCTCACTGTCCACTCTGCCTGTCAGAAAAAAAAAAAAAGTGTTGTGCGGTTATTTGGAGGATAGAAGTTTAAAAACAGAGCTCAAACTTTCTGTCCAAACCCAATGTCAATTTATAAAACTGGGAATTTCAGCACTAATAGATAGCCCTTAAAATTTTTCCAAGCTTAATTGGCTAATTAAAAATCATCACCCAGTCCGGCGCTGTGGCTCACTTGGTTAATCCTCGGCCTGCGGCGCCGGCATCCCACATGGGCGCCGGGTTCTAGTCCTGGTTGCTCCTCTTCCAGTCCAGCTCTCTGCTGTGGCCCGGGAAGGCAGTGGGAGACCGGGAGGAAGCACCTGGCTCCTGGCTTCAGATGGGCACAGTGCCGGCCATAGTGGCCATTTGGGGAGTGAACCAACGGAGGGAAGACCTTTCTCTCTGTCTCTCTCTCTAACTCTACCTGTCAAATAAAAAAAAATCATCACCCAGTTATAGAAACATAAATATAATTTTAATGATATTTAATAGTTCTCTCTATTCCCCATTCCACACCAGGTCTTTCTCTTCTATTGTCATCACCATCTTGGGCAGTAAATGACTTCCTTTCCCCTTGTCCCATCGGTTACAAGTTCCAGTCAGTTCTACTTTCAAAGTCCATCCCCAGCGATCTCCACTTACTTCAGACTAAAAATGCAAGTTTTGATTATTAAATAGACTTTTTTTTTCTCCTACCTCTATTTTCATTTCGCTGCTATCTACCCTCCAGCCCCAGGGACCAGTACCACCCCCAGGTGATGTGGGCAAGGGGTAAATAGATTTCCTTCCAGGCTCTTGTCATGCACACGGACAAGCATTCGAAGTGCTGACATATAAGGTGTACAAAGTGATAAAAACTATAAAAGGTGAGAAAATGAGCACACACACATGAGCATGCCCCATAAAGAGAAATACCCATCATGAGTGGGCAATGGGCCAGAAGATTGTCTGAAAGGAGAAGGGGTGGTGGAGGGGAGACAGAGGGAGCAGCCCTGCAACACCTCCAGCCAGTGGTCTGAAGCAGGAGAGAGAGAGACAGCTCCTCCCAATTGCTGATCTCTTTTATGAGGTTGGGGGCGGTGCATGTAGGCATGATGGCACCTGGAATTATATGGCACTTCCACAACTTACACATGGAGCTGAATACCTGTATTTTCATGGTGTTTCCCTTCCTTAGGTTTGAGAAGAAGCAGTTACATCCTGGGAAAGGGCACATTTTGATTGACAAGTAGGAAGATAGAATTACATGGGGGGAGGGGTGGTTTGTAGGTACTTCCCACCCATGTGGCTGCCTATCTATCCCCTATCATGGGAACCCTCAAAGCAGTGAGAATCTGATTAAATTCACTCTCTTCCCATCACTCACATGACAGGATCCCTACCCGTCAGCAGCTCACACTGCTCTACTTCAAGTTACTTCTGTACTTCTTTTTTTTTTTTTTTCCCCACAGGCAGAGTGGACAATAAGAGATAGAGACAGAGAGAAAGGTCTTCCTTTGCCGTTGGTTCACCCTCCAATGGCCGCCGCGGCCGGTGCACCGCGCTGATCCGAAGCCAGGAGCCAGGTGCTTATCCTGGCCTCCCATGGGGTGCAGGGCCCAAGGACTTGGGCCATCCTCCACTGCACTCTCTGGCCACAGCAGAGAGCTGGCCTGGAAGAGGGGCAACCAGGACAGAATCCGACGCCCTGACTGGGACTAGAACCCGGTGTGCAGGCGCCGCAAGGCGGAGGATTAGTCTAGTGAGCTGCGGCGGCCGGCACTTCTGTGCTTCTATGCTTCAGAGGAATGCACTTGTTGAACTTTCTCAGAAATGTCAAGACCTCTCACTTATTTGTTTTAGAACACGTCGCTTTGCTCTTCCTCTTAAAATTATGTGTATTGGTTTGTTTTTATTAATTGGAAAGGCAGAGATAGAGGGAAACACAGAGCCCCCATTCACTAATTCACTCCCCAGTTGGGCCTGGGTCAAGCTGAAGCCAGGAGCCTGGAACTCCACCAGGGTGTCCCATGTCGGTGGCAGGAACTCAAGTACTTGAACCATCACCTATTGCCTCCCAAAATCACATGAACAGGAAGTTGGGTAGCTGGGACTCAAACTAGGCACTCCTACAAGGAATACTGATGTCCCAAACAGTGGCTCAACTCACTGGGCCCCAGTGTCCACCCCAAGCTGGTTTTTTTCCTGCCTAGAAAGTTAACTTTATCATACCCTTCTTGATCTCTCACCCCACATCAACTCCTCCTCCCATCCTCACCATTCACCCTATATCCTGGAAGTAATGTCTGACTTCAAAGCCTTGAACTGAACCCCTGTGCAATGCTCCTCCCTGGACTCATTTATTCCTAGCTATGTCCAGGGCCAAATGGGCATAATATGCATAGTGCCTAGGACCCACAGCATGTATAGGATTCCATGAAAATGTTTAATTTCATTTAAAATCAGAAGATAAAAATGCACTGTTACATTAAAGAAAATGTTTAATATATAATATTAATATATTTGCCATTAGAGTGATAGATCTAAAACAATACACGTGAACACATGTAGGCATGTACATATGTGTATATGTATGTGTATGTTTATGTTTATATAACTTAATGCTAAGTTTAAGTTTATATGTAGATATAACTTATAGAGATGGACACATACATGTACTTTTTTAAATTGAGGACAGGGTCCATGAAAGTAAAAATGCTTAGAACCTTTGCCAAATTTGAATTTGTTTTAAAACTTTTTGAAGATAAAATTTATTTTCCAATAAAATTTCATGTCAGAAAGCCAACTTAAAATGCTAGCAGCTGTTGGTGTGGTGAAGTGGGTTAAGTCTCAGTTTATGAAGCCAGTTCAGGCCCTGTCTGCTCTATTTCCAATCTAGTTTTCTGCTAATGTATCTGTAAAGACAACAGAATATGGCCCAAGTACTCGGACCCCTGTCATCCATGTGGGAGCCCAGATGGAGCTCCTGACTCCTGGTTTTGGCCAGACTCAGTCCTGACTGTTGTAATCATTTGGGCAGTGAACCAGTGGACAAAGATTCTCTGTCTCTCTCGTCTCTCCATCTATCCCCTTCTCTCTTTGTTATTCTGCTTTCAAAGAAACAAAGAAATATTTTTAAAAAAATACTTTTGGAATAATTAATCAAAACTAAATGTAACTTATGACTATCTTTTTTCTAAAGTTTGGAGACAGAAGAACAACAACAATATCTCACCTCAAGCTTTATTAACATCTCCACTGATTCATTACAAGGTGGCAAGAAGTACTTGGTTTGGGTCCAAGCTGCAAATGCGCTAGGCATGGAGGAATCAAAACCATTGCAAATTCACTTGGATGATATAGGTAAAGTATAAGAAATTCTATCATGTCTTTGATAATAACTAATTCATGGCGCCTGATCAAATGAAGCCTAGGTCTAAAACCAAGTCTCAGAGTTCTTCCAGATAAAGAAACAGAAGTTACTCGTAATTTGTCCTGTGAGAGACGACTGAGAGAGGAGTACTGCTACCACCTCTGTGGATGTCCTTCAGTCGTATTACTATATGGATGTGGGTGTTTTGACAGAAATTTTGGGGAACTTCTTGTATTCCAACCATTGTTCTAAAAGCCAGAAAAAATAAGATGGACAAGGTACCTTCCCTGGCATAATTTGTAATCTACCAGGGAAGATGGCAGGAAACAAGGATTATAATAAAGGATTATAATGAAGAGATGAGACTTATATTAAAGCATTTGACATTGTTTGGGAACTTACATAGGGTCATTTTGCTTTAGTTTTGAGAAATTTTTAAAATGCATAGAATATTAGAGAATTATGCCAACATCTCTGTTTATCAGCCAGATTTAACACATGTTAACCATGTTGATTCAGATGTTTTGGGTTTTGCCTTTTTTAAAACTTACAATAAGTAATAAATACTTCTATCAATTTAATCTAAAATGTTGTTTTTAATGTCTGAATATATAATAGTTTGGCCCCTTCTTGTTGGAAATTTTCACTGTTTTCAATTTTTCACCGATGGAAACTATATTGACATAAACAATCTTGTGGCTAAATTTTTGTTAAGTTCCTCATTGATTTTGAAAGAAATTTCAAAATGTAGTTATACTTGAGCCTTGCACAACTACATACAAGTCTTAAAATCAAAATTCAGACAGAGAACATCAGCATCAGGTGTAAAAAGTCAGTCTCTCTTTGGAGATATTAGTACAACTTATTTCTGTTATAATTAAAGATGGTTTCAATAGCCTACCATTTATGTAGGTTATTATTATGTAGGTTATTATTTCTTGTGTGCTAGCTACTTTTATGTACATTATTGTATTGAACCCACACAACAGTTATTTTGTAGAAGAGATCACAATTTGCACATGAGGAAACTAAAGCTTAGTGACATTAAAAGAAAACTTGTGTAGCAGAGCTGTGAGGCATCTAATTCCAATATCTATGACCCGTATCTTCAGTCCTTATGAGAAAAATAAAAGCACATGGCAATGTGCCTGACAACTTTCCTGCTGATTGATGATCTAGAGATGTGAAGTCTTCCCTTGGGTTACAACAGAGGTCCACTTTGTTCATCACTGTGGTCTTCTATCACAACTACTATCTCAACTGACTTCAACTACTTCTATTAATGAGATTGGTCTAAAGATCCCTTATGCTCTGAACATTGGATTTGAAAGCATGCACACCTGACTACGGTGATGAACAATAACTCCAATTTACTGTATCTTCTTGGAGTTACAGTTCTGTTGAACCTGATCTAGACATTTTTGACACTTTACATTTTGAGGTGAGATGCAATAATATCCTTTTCTTAAAACAGGTTCCCCTTGATAGATTAATGACTTGTAAAGGCAAACGTGTCCATTATCATTTTGGCCATGTCACTTTTAGGAACTACTTTATAATTGGTAGTAGTATTATTACTATTATTATCAGTATGGTCTTAATATCATTATATCCATTTATTGAACACACAGCGTGTTTTAGACACTTAAGATGCATATGACATTTACTTTTGGGAACAACATATGATAGTAGTGTACCCATTTTGCAGATGAAGAAAATGGTAAAATAGTTTGGCCAAGGCCACTTAACTAGTGAAGAGGAGAACTATTTTCCATCCTAGGTGGAACTAGGTTCTATCCTAGACCTGCTGGCTTGCTGTGGTTAACTACATCCCACCACCCACAAAAGAAAATGTCACCTTACCTCCACCTCCAAGTCTGGCTTCTCACACTGTGACCTGGAAGCCTAGAGTTGTTATTCCTTCTCCTTCTCTTCCCTCTCTCTCTACTTGCCCTTCCTTCTCATCCCATTCCTGCTTTCTTATTACCCCAAGATAGACTCAGAAGCTCAGGATAAAATTTCTGGGTTAATGAAGTAGGGAGCTCCAGTCAACGAAATCATCGAATTGTTAGAAAATGAGCTTCTTTCATTGATGACACTTTGAGAATGGAACGTTGCAAGTCAGATAAATGAAATGTTCTACAAAATAGAAAACAGAAGACGCTCCTGGGAGCAATTTCCACACAGCAGCTGTGAGATTGGGCTTTAACCACGTTAGGGAGGTTATGCTAGAACACAGGGCAGAGTTAGCTGTGCAGTAACCCTGTACCAGAATGACAAGTGAGAGGAGTGCTCTAAAGATCTCTTGTAGAGAAATAAATTTCAACAGAGAAAGTGCAGTGCCTTCTGCCTGCCATTTGAACATTAATTTTCATCAGTGTATAAACAGAGATAAATTATATGTTGTTGGGAAAACAACACTATAATCAGGATCTTTATTTCAACGCAAATGGAACCTAAAAGCATGACATTTATGATGGATTTTTAAAAGTAAGATTTAGTAGGAATGTTTGCAACATAAGCAATGAGTAAAAGTTCAATACTGGAGTCTGATATAATAAACTACATCTTCAAATATCTATTGAATAGGGACTTGTTCAAACCTAAAGGATTAGATCTCTATCATGTTGACCTGTTTTATGGGAAAGCTCTCATCAAACTGCATTTCTCATAGGACTACAAAAACTTTTGCTTCCTCAGAATATTTCTTTCTTAAAAGGGTCTGTCAACCTAAATAATACCCAGGCAGAGATTCTCCAAGGAGTAATAGCAGGGACTGCTTTGAAATGGGAAGGTTTCAAAGGCAAGATGAGGAGGATTATGTAAGTTGTCTTGAATCAGTTATCCTTGGCTTCAAGGGTGGTCTCCATCAGATTTAAGCAGGAGCTGCTGGGCAGCTGTCCTTGCATGAGTATTTTCTGTGGAAGGTTGCAGTGACACTTGAGTATGGTTGTGCGGTCTTTGTGACAGTTCTTGGTGTCAGGCAAATGTGCATGAGATGCCCTCCTTCACAGCCTCCTGGCTCGGTTTATTTATTGGCGCACAAGCAACTCCGTTTTGATTCTGACAGTTTCACAGGCCTAAGAATGCTTGTGCTACTGAGACGGTGGCCAAGCCAAACTGAGAGATGGGAGGCAGGAGGAGGAGGGTCAGTTATGGCATTGAGGGAGCCTAAATGACCCTGTGTGGTCTCAGCATGGATCTGCTTTCTTCACTCTAGAAATCTTTGAGTGTTGATTTTTGTTACAAGAAGCTTGTACGAGCAGAGGGAGAGCAGCTTCAGAATTCAAAGATAAAAGTTAAGTACCATAATCTCTTCAGTTAATCTATTCCACTACTACTCCTATTCTATGCTAGATTTAGCCTAAATATTTTATCATAGGACTGTGTCACTGGAGAGCCAATCTTTAATTTTTGTATTTCTCTATAAGTCACTAACTTGTACACATAAATTTAGAAAGTAGTAACTGATAATAAAGCAATAATTTTCCCAAATAAAACTTTATAAACTTAGAATAAATGCAAACAAGTTAATTCATAGAGTATTTTAAGCTGTAATGATGGTCTGTAAAAACACACACACATGGGTTCCTGGGTTCTTTGTTAACTAATACATCTAGCAAAGTTGCAGGTTTTCATTGATCCATGATGCATACAGGAGAAATAGAAAATGTCAGTGATTCTAATCTGTTCAGGCAAAACAAACTTATGAGCATTTAAAAACTTATTTATTAACTTTCATTTTGTTTGAAAGGCAGAAAGACAGGGATCTTCCATCTACCAGCTCACTCCCCAGAAACCTGTGAGCAGCCAGGAGTGGGTCAGGCCAAACCCAGGAACTGGGACCCCATCTGGATCTCCCACACGGGTAGCAGGGACTCAAGTACTTGAGCCATCGCCTGCTGGCTTCTAGGATGTACATTAGCAGGAAGCTGAATGGGAAGGAGAAAAGTCGGAACGTGAACTAGGTACTCCTAAGTGGCATGCAGATATCCTAAGTATGGACTTATGCACTGTATCAAATGACTGCCCCATACAGTTTAGAAACAGTGACTCTAGTTCCATGATTGTTCTAGAATAACAAAACAGCTAGTAAGCTAATTAGTAAGAATTTCAGTTCTCTTATTGTTATAGAACATGGCAACAATTTGTAAAGTCTCATTCTGGAGACTCATTTTGTCAAATCTTACTTCCAAGGACAAATTTACCTTGAAGAGAAATGAAACAAGTCTGCAATAGATCTAAATATTCATACAAGTTCTCCCATTACATAAAATAAGAACGTTATTGTGAAAAGTGTCAATTAACATCTTATCAAATCAGATCTTCTGAACTGAATGTGAAAATGTCATCTCTCCCAAGCTAATGTAGGCAAGAGGAGATACCTCCTTTATCTCTCTTTTATACCCTTTGGTTAATAGGATTAGGTTCTGGAATTTCATTAGTTGGGATTTGAAGAGGTGGCAGTTAGGGGAAGGAAAGCACAATTAGAGTTAAGTTTAAAAGAAATGAAGAATGATATGAATAGATTAGCAAACAAGAAAATGTTAATTGCTAATTAGATCTTTTTTTTTTTAAGCAGGTCTATGTATTGATGAAAAGATACCAGTTTCTTACTAGGCAGGTTTTAAACTGCTAGGTTGTGTGTGTTTTATTTTGTTTTTCTAGTGATACCTTCTGCATCCATCATTTCCAGGGCTGAGAATATAAATGCTACAGTGCCCAAGACCGTCATTTATTGGAATAGTCTAACAACAATTGAAAAGATTTCCTGTGAAATGAGATACAAGGCTACAACAAACCAAACCTGGAATGTAAGTTAAACTTTCATGATTCTTTAATATGTGACTGAATGATTTAAAAGATAAGTTAACTGGGCTGGCGCCGTGGCTCACTTGGTTAAATCCTCTGCCTGCGGCGCCAGCATCCCATATGGGAGCCGGGTTCTAGTCCCGGTCGGGGTGCCGGATTCTGTCCCGGTTGCTCCTCTTCCAGTCCAGCTCTCTGCTGTGGCCCGGGAGGGCAGTGGAGGATGGCCCAAGTGCTTGGTCCCTGCACCTGCATGGGAGATTGGAAGGAAGCACCTGACTCCTAGCTTCGGATTGGCGCAGCTCCAGCTGTAGCGGCCATTTAGGGGGTAAACCAACGGAGGGAAGACCTTTCTCTCTGTCTCTCTCTCTCACTGTCTAACTGTATCTGTCAAAAAAAAAAAAGATAAGTTAACCAACTATCAGGGGCCACAGTGGATTACAATGATCCACTTAACATGTTTTTATATGAATGTCTGCATGATATTTAAAGCACTTGAGTTTTGATGACAGCTATCACGCACTTCCAGAGAGCTATTTCCTAAAAAGATTTTCTTGCCTTTTACAAATTGCTAAATATACAAATCTCCAGCTGAGAGGGATCTATCTATTTAGCTCCTTGTAATTCAGATGGCAAACTTCACATCAGTGATCACGAATATGAAATTTAAGTATTCTATGCTGAAGCTTGACAGGTATCCAGGGAAATAAAATTTGTTCAAAATTGGGAATTTAGGTTTATGGATGTCTCTTTTTAAATTACTAGCAGAGAACTCATCCTTAAATGAGCTTAAAGTATAAAGTGAATGTCTAGTGGGTTGAGGAACCTTTTCCTGCCAAGGGTCATTTGGATATTTACAACATCATTCACAGGCCATACAAAATTCTCGATTTAAAAATTAGACTGCTATAGATTTTTGAATTTTGAATCCTGCCTGTGATTGATTCCCTACACCAACCAATTAGCCATTTCTAAATACCAATGATAAACTGTCAAATGTCTTAGGAGAGGCGTAGGTGCAAGGTCCATTAATAAAATCAATCAACTGTGACAATGTAATCAATCAAGACTCATTAACTTGACCTGTGGAGTAGCACTAATCTGTCTTGGGAAAAATTTCCAGTTTTGGTGTTCTTTGAAAAAAATGTCATTTGACCGGCGCCGCGGCTCACTAGGCTAATCCTCCGCTTTGTGGCGCCGGCACACCAGGTTCTAGTCCCGGTTGGGGCGCCGGATTCTGTCCCGGTTGCCCCTCTTCCAGGCCAGCTCTCTGCTGTGGCCAGGGAGTGCAGTGGAGGATGGCCCAAGTGCTTGGGCCCTGCACCCCATGGGAGACCAGGAGAAGTACCTGGCTCCTGTCTTCAGATCAGCGCGGTGCGCCGGCTGCAGCAGCCATTGGAGGGTGAACCAATGGCAAAGGAAGACCTTTCTCTCTGTCTCTCTCTCTCACTGTCCACTCTGCCTGTCAAAAAAAAAAAAGACAAAAAGAAAAAAAAAGAAAGAAAGAAAAAAATGTCATTTTATTATTTTCAAGTGTAATAAATTGTCATTTAGTACAAATACTAAGGAATAAAGTTTCTGATTTTACTTAATTAAGAATTATATATCAGCTATGAGTTATCTAATTTTAGGGGCTTAAGTAAAATGATGTACATTTAACACACTGAAACATACATGAAACAAAATTTAATGCTTCTTTGGTGACTGACATGACTTCAAAGGCCTCTACTGCTTCAGCCTCACCATTCTGAACATCCATTTTGCTGAGTAAGATGTTCTTAAAGTGTCAAGCAAGTGAGGCTGACATTACACTGATTTCACTGATTTTACCCTGAGACCTGAGCCTTCATTCACCCTTCTTCCCTTACATCTAAATGTGAACTTCACAGTCATTTGATTGCACTTAAGTAGGAGTCCTTGCATCGCTGTATCAACAACCCAATGAAGATCCTGCTGGGCTCCTTTGGCATGGGGGAAGTTTGGGTAAAAAAGCAACCCAAGTAAAGTTCTTAGATTTGGAATTAAATGGGGTGACCTAGTGTAGTCCTTTGTGCAGGCCACAGTAATAGAGTAATACTAAAGATACTAAACTCCCTTATTTGGTGTAAATAAAAAGTAGTCAACTATAAGAGTGCTTAAAAATAGAAAGAAATTGTAATCATTTGTTGCTTAAAACAGGAATATATATTGAGAAATGTGTCGTTAGGCAGTCTTATTATGCAAACCTCATAGATTGCAATTACTCAAACCTAGATGGGACAGGTAAGCCCCTGGACGTGGTCTCTTGATGCAATCAGGAGGTATGGTAAACAAGAGACACCTGCGGCTGTGCTGGGTTAGCACAGCACGCTGTTTTGAAGTCAAATTGTTTTTGTAAGTGGAAGGAGAATATGCTAAAATAACAATAAGTAGGCGAGTAAATACCCAAACCACCAGCATAGGCATTTATCGTCATCATTGAGTATCATGTACTGGACATAATTGTGTGCACTACAGTTTTAGTCCACTGACAGCACAGTGGGTTTGCTTACACCAGTGTCACCACAAACACGTGAGTAATGCCTTAGGCTATGCACTTTCGACAGTCGTGACATCACCAGGTAACAGGAATTTTTCAGCTTTATAATTGTATGTGGCCTGTTGTTGACTGGAATATCATTGTGTAGTGTACAGCTGCAGCTGCATATAATTAGCATCTCTGAAGGTTTTCAAAAACCACTGTTTTCTCTTGAAACTTCAGTTCTCTGTTCCCCCTAGTGGTGCTGCATGTGCCACCAGGACAGTAAATTTGAGTTACTTTTCAAAATCTCCTTACCAGCAGTGGCAAATGAAGGAACTGAAAAAATGTTGTCTCATATCATCTTCATAAGAATCCTTTGCAATAGACAAGATTGGCTCCATTACATAAATGAGAAAATAGAGCTCAAGAGAGATCCAGCCAGATTTTTCTGGACTTTACACAGTCAGTAACTAAGTGTTTGTCTTAGAACCAATAAATATTTTAGATACCCAGTTAAAAAAAAAAAAGTAGGTGCTGGCATTGTGATGCAGTGGGCTAAGCAGCCTCCTGCAATGCTGGCATCCCATATGGGCACTGGTTCAATTCCTGGCTGCTCCACTTCTAATCCAACTCCCTGCTAATGAGCCTGAGAAAGCAGTGGAAGATGGCCAAGTGCTTGGGGCCCTGCCACCCACATGGGAAATCCAGATGAAGCTCCTGATTCTCAGCTTTGTCTTGGCCCAGCACTGGTTGTGGTGGACATTTAGGGAGTGAACCAGCAGGTAGAACATCTTTCTCTGTATGTGTCTCCCTTTCTCAATGTAACTCTACCTTTCAAATAAATAAATCTTTTAAAAATATGATGAAGTGGTGGCAGGCATCTGGTTCAGAGTGAAGATGTTGCTTCGAATGCTCACATTCCATATCAGTGCCTGGGTCTGAGTTCCTGCTCCACTTCTGATCCAGCGTCCTGCTAATGTGCACCCTGGAAAGGCAGTAGATGATGGCTTTGAATCCTTATTCCCCATGTGGAAGACCTAGATGGAGCTCCTGGCTCCTAGATCTTGCCTGGCCCAGCCCCAGCTGTTGTGGGCATTTGGAAAGTTAAACAGCAGATGGAAGACATTTCTCTCTCTCTCTCTCTCTCTCTCTCTCCCCTTATAAAATCTTTAAAAATCGAGAAAATGAAAGATCAGGTTTTGCTTCAAAACTCATATTTTAACACCTCTACCAAGCTTCTAAATACATCCACTGACACAGAGAAAAGTGAGTTACCGTTTTACCCAGCTACCCAAGTCACAATAACCAGAATGAAGACTTGCTTTATGTTTGCCAAAAGGAAAGCCTTGAGGCTAAAATACACGCTCCAGAGTTCAAAACCTTGTTCACTACTTTCCAGCTGTGCGTACTTGATCAACATCTTTGTCTTCTCAATGTCTCATTATTCCCATACTTAAAATATGGGTAAGACAAACGCCTACCTCATCCAGTTGTGTGAGAGTGAGTGGTGAGGAATCACACAATCTAAAAGCCCAGAACCTGGAATAGCATTAATGTCCAGGGAATGCCAGCTATCACTGTGACCTTCATCCTGACCTCCAGGGGACCATGCAGCAACAATGGGAGTGCAAAGAAGTCTGCCTGAAAATGTGCATGATGAAAATGCGTGTCTATCTCTTTAGCTAAGCTGTCTACAGACTGAGGAAGCTAAAGGAAACCGTCCTTGTGATGAGTTACGAGGCTGACACTGATGGGAGAATATTGATTTATTGAGAAACGCCTCCAAGTGAAAGCTTCAGATTTTGCCCTTGGAGATGATTCAGTTGCATTTTAAGAACATTTACAAACATCTTGCCCCTCCTCATTTGCCTCAGCCTCTATTTCAATTCCGCAGTAGTGGAGCTGAGTCCAGACCAGAACATTTAAAGCAGAGTTTAGTAAAGTCTCACAGATAGCAAGAAGAAATTAGGGGTAGGTATTGGTGTAGCGGTTTTCTTTTTATATATTTTTACTTATTTACTTACTTACTTATTTATTTGAAAATCAGAGTTATAGAGAGAGAGAGGAAGGAGAAACAGAGAGAGATCTTCCATCTGTTGGTTCACTCCCCACATGACCAAATAGCCAGGGCTGGGCTGACTGAAGCCAGGAGCCAGGAGCTTCTTCCAGGTCTCCTATATAGGTGCAGGGGCCCAAGGACCTGGGCCATCCTCTGCTACTCTCCCAGCACACCAGCTGGGAGCTGAATTGGAAGTGGAGCAGCTGGGACTCAAACTGGCACCCATATGGGTTGCCAGCCTCGCAGGCGGTGGCTTAATCTGGTAGGCCAAAATGTGAGCCCCTGGTGTAGTATTTAAGACACCACTTGGGATGCCTACATACAGGAGAGCCTGGGATGAAAACATGGCTCCCAATTCCAGCTTCTACTAATGTGCATCCAGAAGGCAACAGGTGATGGCTCAAGTACTTGGGCCCTTCTGCCCATGTGGGAAACTCAGATTCAGT